AAGACTCCGAGAGTCAGAAAAAAGAGACAGCCGAGGGTGCGAGAGCACGGAAGCAGCAGGTGGGTGGCAAGCTGAAGGGGAGGTGAGGCTTGGGAGCAGCAATGAAAGAAAGTATTCACCTTTTCCAAGAAAGGTAATCATACAAAGGCCTTCCAAACAGAGCTAGGGAAGAACTTGTTCTGGAGATATTAAAAAATAGACTCAGTGTAACTACCGTGTATAACGTTACATATTCATTACATACTCACCCTTGGCTCCCATCCAACTTACTTGGCCCTAACAGTCTGAGAAAGAAGGAAAAGGTCTGAATACAATACCTGATTCCGCATCTGGATCTTCTCCACATTGCAGCTTCTTCAGTTTCTTACTAACCAGGTCCAATAAAGTAACTGGTGTCTACATAAAAGCAGTTATTTTCAAATATTTAATATGATTTTTTTTTCTAGCCAGAAACCCAACATAGAAAAAAATTTAATGTTTTTGACCAATGAGTAGGGGGAGAGAATTCCAGCTGAAGGGGTGGGTTGCAGAAGGTCTGAATTCTTGAATTTTTTTTAGAATTCTTATAGTTCTATTTTCTACTTTCATGTGTGAACTACATCTGAAACTAGGTTAGGCAGTCATCAGTGTAATGTTCTCCTATAAAAAATTTATGGTTCTATAATAGCACTGATCTAAATAATCTTACATTGTAATTACACGGTCAATATGTAAATAACAGCTCTAAAACATTATTATCTTAAAATAGATAAATTCTCTTTTTCCAGTTGTGGCTATACAAAGGCAGTCGCGGATTACAACATGTATCTGGGGGAAATCATCCCTCAGCTAATCTTGTTACGGGGGCACCCCTACACCTACAGACGCGGAACCTCGTGTCTGCACAGCTCCTTCATCCTGGACCCCAGCCTGCCTTTACATTAGCTTCTATACTCTTGCCAATTTCAAGTCACGAAGCTATCCCCATTGAGTCATTCCATCATTCAATAAAAATTCAGTGAGTGATTGCTAAGTCCCAGGCACTGTTCTAGGTGATAAATAAGCAGATCAAGATTTGAACTCTTGGAGCTTACATCCTCATAGAAGAGAAAGACAATTTTTAAAAAATCGGCAAATACATATTATAATTTCAAGTAGTGACAGTGCCATTAAGACGCATAAAGCAGGGTGAGGGGCTCGAGTGAGGAGCATGAGCGGCCACCCCTGCTGCGAAGGGCTGTCTGAGAGCAATACAGTCGCAGAGGCCTGAGCAGATGTGCAGTGCGCCAGACCTAAGAAGATCCGGAAAAATGTTCCAGACAAACAGCAGACAGCAGCATAGAAAAGGCCCTGAAACAGGGAAAACTTGGCATGCTTGCCTCTATCATAAAGCCCCCACCTCAGCCTCCCTGAAACCCCTCATGCCCTGATCTCCAGGAAGCAGTCCCGAGAGGCTTCTCCCGGCTCCCTGAGCCCACACGCCGCTTCCTCCGGCAGGCCACGGGGACTGCCTCTCCCTGCGTAGCCTGCAGCAGAACGTGAGCCCGCGTGCTTCATCGTGACGCTGATGCTCTGGCACGCGGGGGAGGAAAGGAGGAAAAATCCTTTCTAATTTCTTGGCCATATGTAGGAAAGAGGAGAACTCATCTACCCAGAGGAGGAGGCAGGGTGAGAAAGCAGTGGAGAGGCTCAGTGGTAAGGAAGAGGGGAGAGGAAGTGCTCTTTCTAAGTTCCTAGTTGAAATCTGGCACCCATTTTACGAGGGAACTACACACGAGCTTTGGTTTGGTGACTGTCGAATTAGGCATTTATATAGCCTGGGCTCCCTAACCTCCATTATAGTTTTTTGATTAAAAAAAAAACTATGCACAGAATACCTAACAACTGACTTACAAATGAGTTTTCAGAATATATTTCATTCAAAATTCACAAAACTGGGACTGTATTATATATTCTTATTACTTTTTTTTCACTCTGAAATAATGGAAAAGAAACTTCAGTTATGGGTGACAGAACAGCTACAAAATCTGAACCAATATATATTTCTTATGACATGAGACAAATTTTTTAGGCAAAAAAAAACTGAAGAGGGGAAACAATTCTTTGGAGAAATACCACTAGAAGTACCAGTCAGTACTAAAATACAGTAGTGAGGCTAAAAAACAATCTTTTTCTTGATATATTTTCAAAACATATCAAGAGCCTAACCACATTTTACTAACTCTATTGCTACCCCTCGGCTTCCAGCCACTGTCTCTCTTGCCCAGATTATTACAACAGCCTCCTGAAAGCTGTCCCTGCTGCCCTGGCCCCAACAATCTATTCTCAACACGGAAGCCACAGCTGTCTTTGTCAGTGTCAATCAAATCAGGCCACTTTCTGCCCAAAGCCGCCTGGGATTCCCCGTTTCATTCCAAGGAGAGGCAAGGTCCCTCCAGTGGCCTACAGGGGCCCCACCTCTCTGACCCCATCATCCCCCCCCGCCCACCATGTCAGCACCCAGGCCTGGGTCACCCCCGGGGCCTCTGCTCTAGGACCCACTCTCTCCCCCAAACCAGGACTCCCTCTCCCTCTTCCAGTCTTGGCTCAGATTTCACTTTCTCATTGAGCCCAATCTTGGCCACCCTGTTTCATACCATAAGCTCCCAATCGCCCCCATCCTAGCACCCATAAATCCTCCGAACCCGCTCTTTCTCTTTTTTCTATCACATTTATTGCTTTCTATCAAACTATGTGACCTGACTTGATGATTGTATTTTTTTTATCATCTGTGAACCCCACTTGGATATAAGCTCCTCGAGGGTCTGTATCTTCGTGCTTTGTTTACTGATGTATCCTAAGTACCTAATTAAAACAGTGCCTGGCACATAGTAATGCACCAGAAGTGGGTTGAAGAAATTAATATATTTTCAAATATTGACATTAAGTCGGCTTCTTTCTCTTTAGTGGGTAGGGGAAGATAGCATTCCTTCAAACTTGGCACATTATGGGTACTCAATAAATTATTTATTAAGTGAATTATTTGCCCTTTTGCTTAACAGAAATAGCTTGGTACTAAATGTGCCCAGGCACAGTGCCAGATACCTTGAGGAGCTCGGAGTGATATTCCAGTAGGAACCGGATGAGCTGTTCTGCCCGTACTTTTGATAATGACTTGGTTTGCAAAACTGCTTTGGCAAGAGTCTTCAGGACAACAGTTTTGTTATCATTCTGTAAACAGAAAGAACACATTAGCTTGAACAGTTTATATTTTTTAACTGAATTTATTGGGGTGACGCTGGTTAACAAAGCCATAAAGTTTCAGGAGCACAACTCCAAACACATCATCTGTACACTGTACCGTGTGTTCACTACCCCAACTCCAGTCCCGTCCATCACCATTTACCCCCCATCCCCTATCCACCTCGCCCCTCCTCTCCCCCAGGCAATCACCACTGTGGTCTGTGTGAACAATTTTTAAAAGAGAGAATAAAAACAGAACATTGTAAAACTGTTATTGTAATTTTTTTACCTGTTTTTGTAACTTGTAGGCATTAGGTTCTGATGCAATAGCCATAAAAGTAAGCAGCCGCCGTAACTCTTCTCTAATGTTGGGCAACAACAATCTTAGATATAGTTGTGTTGCTTCAAGTGCTTCTGCTCTTTTCTCATTTTCTGTTACATGGGTTACAAATATGACAAAGCATGGAACAACAATGGAGACTGTAGTACTTAGTAGTCAATTAAAATGCTACGCTGTGCCCGGCCGGGCGTGGCTTAGCGGTTGAGCATTGACCTAGGAGCCAGGAGATTGTGGTTCGATTCCTGGTCAGGGCACATGCCCGGGTTGCAGCAGGCAGCTGATCAATGATGACGCTCTCGTCATTGATGTTTCTATCTCTCTCTCCCCCTCTCTCTCAAATCAATAAAGATATATTTAAAAAGGGAGAGAGAGAGAGAAACATCGATTGGTTGCTTTCCCATAGGCATCCTGACCAGGGATTGAACCCCGCAACCTAGGTATGTGCCCTGAACAGGAATTGAACCCACAACCTTTAGGTGTACAGGACGACTCTCCCACCAACTAAGCCACACCAGCCAGGGCTCAAACAGAATTTTGTTTTTAACATGGAATTATATGGCCATCTATGTAGCTAAAAATGTGACAATACTATGATACTCAATTTTTTATTTTGCTCAAAGGTCACCAAATACCTCAGTTCTCTAATCCTGTACTGTAGCAAAACATGTTTCTTAGAATGTCCCTGTGACATAATTACCTTAGATCTAATGTTCTATATAGCACATTAGTTATATCTGATAGTACAATTTACAGGGCAGGCAACATTAGTAAAGTGAAAAAGACTCCATGCAGTACCTTGACACCACAGAGGAAAAATAGTAAAATGTTATATAATATTTAACATTTTCTTCATCTTGCATCTTTAAAAATATTTTATTGTGTAAAAAATTAAAGTTTAAACATCATCTCTTACCTAAAAGTTCAATAATCCCTGAAAGAATATCAAAATACTCATTGGCTAACAGGCAATCTCTCTCTTGATTATAGTATTTTACGACAACATCAAAAAGTATCTTCTTTTGTGTACTCAGCCTGGTCTCTTCATTTCTGTTTTGCACTAACTGCTGACTAACGGAAGCTATGTACTGGTCAGGGAAATACTCCAAGCATTCAATTGCTGCATTAAGCCAGCTATCAATCCTGGAGGGAAAATACAAAACAAAATAAATCAATGGTTATCATTTCCATTTAATTACCTAAAGCACTGTTTGATAAAACGTCATCAAAGCTAGCTGATCTTAATCATTTCAATAAATTTTGCAGGATGAATGAAGGAATAAGAGGGAATAGCTATTTTCCTCACCAAATACTGCCATATCTTTCTATACCTTTATTTTCAAGGAGTGAAACTACTTTTTGGCCACCTTTTCATGACTGATTTCTAATTTTGTCAGGTTTTGTTCAGAGTTTATCTGTACTGCTCCATTTCACTAGTGGTTCCCCTCCCTTTTCCCACTACAATAATTAGGTGCATATGGTTCTATTATTATTTGAAAATCAGATACCAAATATTTCCCCAAACAAGATGTCCTGTTTACCCTACCACACTGCCTTCCCTTTCTTCTCTCTCCACCCCAATGAGATAAGGAATTCAGGGTTCTTTCCCTCCTCCCTTCCTACAGTGAGGCCTCTGAAAGGCCTTTAATTCCCCCTTTCCTCACCTGCCACCTTTCTAACCCCCGGGTTTTGCTGTGATAGGTTACATATACTATAATTTCCTTAACAGTGTGTCCTTTCTATTTTTGTTTTTTTTAATCCTCACTCTGGGATATTTTTTCCATTGCTTTTGAGAGAGTTGAAGGGAGAGAGAAACATCGGTGTGAGAGGGAACATCGAGTGGATGCCTCACACGCCCCGCCTGGGGCTGGGGATTGAGCCTGCAGCAAAGGTACCTGCCCTTGGTCGGAACAGAACCCGCGACCCTTCAGTCCGTGGGCCTGAGCTCTGACCACTGAGCAAAATGGCCAGGGCTGTCCCTTCTGTTTTGACTTCTTATTTAGTGCTAATATTTTACACATTCCCACACAGTCTTACATAGCAGCTTGGAATTAGTGTGTGTGTGTGTGCGCGCGCGCGTGTACCAAATGAGAAAATAGTAAGAGCGCACAGAACAAAGCCCACTGCCTAACAACGTTTCCTCTCCTCTTCATCTTCTCCATCTTGGGGTTCTGCCTATTTTCTTTGGATGAGGTTCCTGAGTGATATACTCTATGAATTCTTTTTTTTAAATTGAATTTATTGGGGTGACATTGGTTAATAAAACCATACAGGATTCAAGTATGCATTCTTTTTTGTTTTTCAAGTATGAATTTTTTTATTTTTTTAAAAAATATATGTTTATGGCCCAGCCTGGTGTGGCTCAGCAGCTGAGCGTCAACCTAGGATACAGGTGATCGCCCTTTGATTCCTGGTCAGGGCACATGCCTGGGTGGCAGGCTCGATCCCCAATGGGGGTGTGCAGGAGGCATAAATATATTCTTATTGATTTCAGAGAGAGGAAGGGAGAGGGAGAAAGTGAGAAAGAAACATCAATGATGAGAGAGTCACTGACTGGCTGCCTCCCGCATGCCCCCCACTGGAGATCGAGCCCACAACCTGGGCATGTGCCCTGGCCAGTAATCAAAGGGCAATCACCTGGATCCCAGGTCGATGCTCAACTGCTGAGCCACGCTGGCTGGGCATCGGGGAAGAATTTTTGATAATCCTCAAGAATCTTTCCTTCATCCCTCCTGCCCTTATCCTTCCATCTTTCCTTCCTTCTCTTTTTGCCCCCTGACAGGTGAAGGGTGTATCTTTCCTAATATGTGTGTCATTATCTTCTAGATCCTAGTGTTTCAGATGAAAAGATTAATGGTGGTTGGACTGCTTTTTTTTTTGCAGATAACCTATCCTTTCCGCCTGGAAGCTTCTAAAGGCAGACTAGCTGCCGTTTCCTGCAGAGGCCTCTAAAGCAATCCTGTCTCTTTACTGGTATCCTTACACGCTACCTGACTCAGGGGCTGGGGAAGACACAGAACTTTGCCTTGGCCTTTCTTGGCCCATTGTGAATTCAGGAAACCTCCCATGTGCAAACAGGACCACAGGTGACTATCTAATTGGGTCCACAGGTCTCTTGTCACCAAGCTCTTCTCAGGACTGATGCTTTCTGGTCCTCAGCCTTAGAGTCTGATGTTCTTTCCTTCTTTGGCCCACATGGGAGAAAGCATCACATCAGTTCTCTCTGTTGGAATCCCTACTAGCACTCAAGGTCTTATACCAATAGTTCCCTGCAGTAGGAGTGACAAATATCTTAGAGTTCAGAGAAAAGAGAATAGAGTGTCACTCAGGTTATAGGGCTCCCTGAACCTCTTCCCCACAAGTAAGGCTGACTTTATGATAAGACTTATCTCCTTGAACTGTAATGTTCTGTTTTGCGAATGTCTCCCCTACTAGCCTGTGGATTCTTTTAGGGCAGGAATAAACTGGTAGAAACTGATACTTAATGTTACATTAGGGTCATGAAATGGGAATCATAGAACTTTGGAAAACACTCAGGGCTGGTGCTGGGAGAATATAATTGTTGAGTCATGACTGAACTCATATGAATGAAACCACTCTGATTTACAGATCTTCTCGCTGGTCATAACCAGAGACTTTCTTTGTTAGATCAAATGAGAATTCACAGTGATTAATTTACGAAACAGAGATGGTGTTAGCTTAAACATATGGATATGTTCTTACCTCTTAAAATACCGAAGGTGAAATGTATGAAAGATCTTTTAAGTTATAGGTTATTTGACAATAAAAATGGTCACTTACTCAAGTACACAGATGCTTGGAATAACCTCTCTGTCTAGACAAGTATTTGAGATAACAAGGTCTTCCTCTTTGCTTAATTGAAGATTTTGTGTTTTAACTGGTGGCTCCAAAATATTTTCCAAGAATGGAAGGTGAATCAGTTGAAGAATACGTAACAATGTTTGTTGTTTCCAAACATCTTCTATAGCTTAGAAAGAAAAATAATGGAACTATCAGATTGAGAAATAACATACACTCAACCAATATTATAAAATTTTCCATTTCTAAACAATACAAAATAAAAGCTACTTTAAAATGTATAATGGATTAATTTTTTTTTTTAAATATATCTTTATTGATTTCAGAGAGAGGAAAGGAGAGGGAGAGAGAGAGATAGAAACATCAATGATGAGAGAGTCATTGATCAGCTGCAGCCCACAACCCGGGCATGTGCCTTGACTGGGAATGGAACCCCGATCGTCTGGATCCTAGGTCGACGCTCAACCGCTGAGCCACGCCCGGCCGGGCTATAATGGATTAATTTAATGCTAGGATAATTTAAATTTTCTAAATTACAGTTTTTATTTTCAAGATTTATCTTTAAAGAGACATTATTTATGAACATAGTGACTGTATTTTCTGGTTATGTTGATTAGTTATAAAGTGATATTATCTAGCTTTTAAGGCCAACAATAGATTAATTCCAAATATAAAAAGCTACTGGTCATGCTAATAAATTAATTGTATATCTGAGAGAATATGAGATTGCTAATTATAATTTTATTCAAAGTAGCACATTTACTTGTAGTTTGTTGTTTTTAAATGAAAATATAGTATTAGGTTAATCTTAACTTGGGTTTCCTGATCATTCCTGTTAAGAGTTAGTTTTTCATTATCCTAATCATCAGATCATAATTAATATTTTGTTTTTATTTTAAACAAAACAAAATCATAAAGGCAACAGCTATAGTAAATCTCTTGCAAAGCTCCCAAGCCAGTGGCCTGTGTGTTAAATCTGAACCATAGCCATGATTTTTTTGATTATAAGCATTTTTAATAAAATTAACTTGTATAAAAATGGGAGATTTCGTGTAAAATTCTGGGTTTCAAGCTTCTTTTTTTTAAAAAAAGATCTCCTAACACTGAGCTTGAATTAATGCCTGGCCAAAGGCAGCTGATACCAATCAGTGGGCACCCGCTTTGCTTCTGCATGCCATTTCCAGTTCACCACAAACCCCACCCCTCCCCCTGTATCCCAGTGAAGTTGAGTGTCAGTGACCATTTTCATGGTGGTGTCCTGTTGGTTTTGCTACAGTAAAAATCAACTTCCCTGTACTTACATCTCTGTGTTATGTGGGAAAAGGAAAAACAGCCCGAGAGGGCCATATATTTCAAGCAAAATAGCAGTGCCCATTTTTCCTATATGTTTGGTAATTAAGTACTCACTGCCTCTCTGGTCTGCCTGGCTCCTAAAGTCATCTGAATTTGCTACCTGTGAGCTATTGGCTAAAATAAATCGAATTAACAATCTTTTAGTAAAGACTTGAGATCATAACTAGCCTCTAACCAGTCAGTCCACATTTGTCAATACCAATCTTTGGGCACAGCACTGAACCAGGTGCTATAAAAATACATAAAATTAGTGGGCCTTCAGCAGCCTCCCACTAAGTAAGGAGGCAAAGATGAAATGGGTGAAGGCAAATTTTATCAACTTGCCAAGAAATATACATGATATATTATGAATAAGTCCAAAAGTGGAAAAAAACTATTTTGCAAGAGCATCAAGACAGAAGACTCATTTATTCAACAACTATTTATTGAGACCTATTTTGTGCTAGGCACTGTTCTAGGTGCCAGGGATACTGTAAGTAGAACACGCAAAATCTTAACGGGCTTATATTCCAGAGGGGATAGAGAGGCAGGCAATAAACAAACAAAGAAAAAGTAAAATATGTAGTGTGTCAGTTAGTGGTACGTTCTATGGAGAGAAATTTAGCAGAAAAGGAGAGAGGTCACGCTAGGGGGTAATGCTGCAATTTTAAATAAGATGTGTGGGAACTATAATTGGGAAGATAATATTTGAGCGAAGACGTGAAGGAGGAGCAGAGAAATGTGCTTTCTAGAACATACTAGCCAAATACAGAGATGATAAACAGAATACCAAGCTCTGTGCAGGGAATTACACTCAAGAAGGATACTGTGACAACATACACTATCACCACGGTCATCTTGATGGAGCACTTCATACTCAATGACCAGTGTGCTGAATGATGGAGGCACAAAGGGGATAGACTGTGCATTTGAAGAGTGCAATCCACATGCTTAGGATAGCACAGACACATACACGCATGCATGAACATATATATGTTCATATATGTCTGTAACTGTATATGAACAAGATGCATATGTAAAAGAAAATATTGATAAAAGGAGGAGGCTGTGCGGGAGTCATTTATACACTAAATGTTAACAAACTAACCAACAGCGAGGCGCTGTGCCATTCAGTGGGGAGGACAATGGTGAACAAGATCAGGACTGTGGCTCAGCGGTTGAGCATCGACCTAGGATCCAGGAGATCGAGGTTTGATTCCCGGTCAAGGCATGCCCAGGTTGTGGGCTCCATCCCCAGCAGGGGGCGTGCAGGAGGCAGCCGATCAATGACTCATCATTGACGTTTCTATCTCTCTCCCTCTCCCTTCCTCTCTCTGAAATTAATAAAGACATATTAAAANCTCTGAAATCAATAAAAAAATATTAAAAAAAAAAAAAAAAAAAGATCAGGACTGTTACTAATACCTCACAATCCAGTGGGAAATAAACACAAAATTTCATTAAGTGTATAAATGTTTGAAAGTATGTTCAGTAGGATTCACATTTTGTTTCAGCCAAAGAAACCTTTATACAAACATATTCTTCCAGAAGTGAAGTAAACATTAATAGTGGAGATGCTTTAGCTGCTATCAGGCATTCCCCTAAGTCCTACCCTACAGAGGTGAGGAGAGGTTGTATCTTGCACCTTGAGAACCCCTAACATTTCTAAAATAATGCACATATATTTTTGAAATATTAGTCATTATATTATTAGTAAGAAACAAACAACAGTAAAAAAATTAAACCTCAGCAAAGGTGGTTGGTTCCCCTTAACTCTTCTTGTTACACAAATGCAAATTTGTAACGAAGCCTGCAGTCCTGTAATTGCGCTACTTTACTGCTGCTGGCAGAGTTCTCAACTCAATTTCAGCGAAGGAGGTTTCTCAGTTATTTGGAAACTAAGAAATGGCCTTTTCTGCACTTTGAGAACCCTAGGTAGCTTAGCTAGTTTGTACTGAAAGGCAAATGGCAGGGAGGTGTTGGGAAGGGGTTTATACAATGGTCAGAGGATACGCTCATTAGAAGGTGGTGTTGGATTATAAATAATAAGGACTGCTAATGAGTCTGCATGTTTTTTTCTGGTAGTATATACTACAGCACCTCCAATCTGATCATGGTTGTTGCAAAAACATAAACTAAATGTTATTGGACCTACGTTGCCTCATCTGTCTTGTCTGACTCTTACAGGGAAGAGAACAGCGAGTCGATACACCAAACACACTACTTTTATTGTATCTGAAAAGTCAATTCTTGGAGACAGTAAAAAGATCAGTGGTTGCCAGGGGTTAGGGGGAAGGGAGGAATGAATAGGTGAAGCATAGAGGATTCTTAGGGTAGTGAAACTATTCTGTATGATACTGTAATGGTAGATACATGTCATTATATACTTGTCAAAACCCCTAGAATAAACACCACCAAGAGTGAACATTAATGTAAACTATGGGCTTCAGGTGATAATGATGAATCACTGTAGGTTGATGGATTGTAACAAACACACCACTCTGGTACAGGATGTTCATAGTGAGGAGGGCTGTGTGTGTGTGGGGAGGGGGGGCAGGGGATATGGGAACTCTCTATACATTCTACTCAGTTTTTCTGTGACCCTAAAACTGTTCTAAAATTTAAAGCCTAATTTTTAAAAAGTCAGTTCTTCCTTGCAAAGTTCTGAAAAAAATAATGAAAACAAATTACCTTCTTTTGAAAGTGGAAGAACAGGTTTGCCAACTGTGATATTTGGAGGAAAAGCCAGATTCCCACTCATTGTAGGCGTAAGTTCCTTAATTCTTTCCTCACCAATCTCTTGTGCTACAGGATTTGAAATCATTTCATCTTCTGGTCTGTTAAGAAGTAATATGTGAATTTTTTCATAATATACAGGAGCAAATTTTCAAATATACAGTTTTGTTTATTAAATTTATTCATATATTCCCTATTTCTAAAAAAGATCCCAGGCAGCTTACAGTAAAAGACACAAGGAATAAAATTATTAGATAATAGAATATCACCCAAAAAGGACATATTAGGATTGAATATAATGAGAGAGAATACATGCTAATTATAAGGTGAACACTGTTGCTATCATGAAAAATTTTTGCTCTGAGTTGCCAGAAAACCTTTCCTTTTTTTACTTTGGGTAAATCATTTTTCAAAATTAGGAAGCATACAATTCATCATAGGATATAAAGTTTTTCCTGATACAAATTCTGAAAAATCTGTGCTAATGTCCTCCACACGAGTTTTAGAGCAAATGCTGATATGGATTAATTTTTACATGGCTATTTCTTTTATTGATTTCTGAAAAAAACTGAAAGCATAACATTCAAGTTTAGCTCAATGACACTGTTCTCCCAGAATCTAAATACAATATATTACAGTATCTTGATTAACACTAACCTTAAAGATTCCTTTGCATTTATTTTATCTGTTAACCCATTCTCGGCATCCTTTTTTCTTTCGCAAAAAACATAAGATGATTTATTGCCTAGAAACCTGTAGAGACTATTGTTTGAATCTTCAAATTCCAATTCCTTCTTGTTTTTGAATAGCTTTACTCCTACTGGTTGAAATACTTTATGATTCATTAGAACTTGGCAAAGACGAACTCCTTTAAGACGAGAGATATCATTACTACTTAGGCACATATTTTGCATAAGATGACTTAATATTACATCAACAGCATCAGAACCAGTAAAACAATCTTTGTATGTTCGTAAATGATGCCTCCTCCTTTTTATTTCCACTTGAGTCTGAAGGCAGTGAATAATACTATCCCATAGCTGAGTAGCTTGAAAAGGACCAGAACATCCTGAAAAAAAAAGCACACAAAACCCCAAACATATACTTAGATTACACAAAAATATTTAAATTTTTTAATTTTGAAAACCTGATGCCTTTTTTGAAGCCTCACCCGAGGATATGATTTTATTGATTTTAGAGAGTGAGGAACATTGATGGGAGAGAAACATTGACCAGTTGTCTCTCATATGGGCCCCAAGCAGGGATCAAACCCACAACCTTTTGGTGTATGGAACAATGCTCCAACCAACTGAACCACCTGGCCAGGGCAACCTTATGCTTTTTTAATAGCATATCTGCTGCCATTGTCTTTATTAAGTTTCTACTCCTTCCATTTTCTGTAAACCATAATATCTTTACTAAGATTGCACCATGTTTGCCAATAAAAACAGAGTAAACCTAGGAAATTACTGATATGAAATATATTATTATGTGAATTTATATGTACCTTTAACGTTCCATGATTAACTACTAGGTATACTTAATCTTGAAAAATATTATTTCAGGACACATTGAAAAGGAACGACACACTCACTGGAGTCCTGATTATCACAGAGCTGTGGCTTCACAGGTTTTTATCTTTTTCTATCTTCTTTTTCCATTTTTGACCAATTGCACAAGTTCTTCATGAGAGAGATCTAGGGCAAGGAGCTGAATAAATCTAATCTATGTATCTGCCATCTATTCTTAATGGGGGAAAAAAGTTTGTGAGTAACAATGAAAACCTGAAAACAACAAAAATGTCCATCACCCAAGGAGTCGTTAAATAAATTATGGCATAGCCATACCACAGATTATTAAACAGCCATTAGGAAAAATGGGGTTTATAGCATGAAAGGATATCATTAAATAGGAAAAAAAACCAAAAACAAAAACCCAAGAGTTGAGCAGAACAATTTGTATACTATTATCCTACTGATGTAAAAATGAACTCCCAAACTACACAAAATATAAGTAAATAAATAGAAAGAGAGGTCTGGAAAGGTAAACCTCTAACCTTCGGGAAGTAGCATTGTAATGAAAGAGGATGTTTCATTTTTATTCTATATATTTCCAAATTTTTATAACGTACATATGTAAACTTTTCAATTAATTGGAGACAGTAGAATTTTTATTGATTAAATGATATACCACAAAATTCACCCTTTTAAAACGTACATTCAATGTCTTTTAATGTAGTCACAAAGTTGTACAATTACCACTATTATAACTGCAGACCATTTCATCACATCACAAAGAAACCCATACAGCCCTGGCCAGTGCGGCTCAGTTGGTTGCTGTCCCATGCACCAAAGGGTCCTGGTTCCACTCCTAGTCAGGGCACTTGCCCAATTTTCGGGTTGGATCCCCAGTAGGGGGCGTGCAGGAGGCAGCCCATTGATGTTTCTCTCACACAGATGTTTATCTCCCTCTCNACTGGGGTAGGGGGCGTGCAGGAGGCAGCCCATTGATGTTTCTCTCACACAGATGTTTATCTCCCTCTCTCTTCCTTTCTCTTTAAAATCAACAAAAACATAAAAGAGAAACCCATACAGTTTGCAGTCACTCCTTACTACCCCCTACCCCAGTAATTTTTAAATAAAAAATTAAAGAATAAGCCCGGCCGGCTTGGCTCAGCGGTTGAGCATTGACCTACGATCCGGGAGATCTAGGATGGATTCAGGATCAGGGCACATGCCCGGGTTGTGGGTTCAATCCCCAGCAGGGGGCGTGCAGGAGGCAGCCAATCAATGAATCTTTCTCATTGATGTTTCTCTCTCCCCCTCTCCCTTCCATAAAAGATAATCTCTTTTAAAAAATTAAAGAATGATAAGGGAATAAGTTGAAATACCCAGAATGTTGTTTCTAGATTTTCTTTTTTGTTAAAATTCAAGAATGTAAGCTCTCTCCTCCTTTGATTATGGATAACTGGAAGCACGATGACCAGTTTTACATGAGTCTGCTGTTCATGGCAAAATGACAGAAATAAAAACCCATCACCTTCAAATGCCTTTAGTAACAGAAGCTGTTTGTCTGTCTATCCTTTAAATATTAGCCCGCGGCCCTTTGGACAGCGCGGAGACAGGCGTGGGTGGAAGGTAAGCAGTGGCGAGGGGGAAAGGGTTTGAGAATCGCCGAGCGATGGGTGGGGTAGGGCGGGGCAGGGTTGCGGTGGGGCGGAGAAGGCCAGCAGTTCATGAGTGGTGGAGCCAAGGGTATTTCCCAGGGAACATTTGCCTTGAACCGTCACTAAACAAGCGAGCTAGAAGAAACAGTCCGCGTGCTCAAGGAACTGGCCACCCGGTACTTCAACCCCTGTAGCTCTAAGTGTAGCCCTCGCCCTCTGGGCACTTGAGAGAAACGCAGAGCATCAGCCTCCTGGACCCACAGGCTGCATTGTAACAAAGTCCCCACATGACTCGCGTGCATGTTGAAGTTGGAGAAGCGCTGCGTTCCCGGACTCGCCCAGGAGAGCAGCTCGGGAAAGCCCGAGCCACGGGTCCTAGGCTCGGACCCGGGAGAGCAGGTGCGCCGGCGGAAGGGGCGGGGCCAGGTAAGGGGCGGGGCCCCAAAGCCCGAGGCTCAGAGTCCGAACGCCCCGCTCCTCTCAGCCGCCCTTCACTTCGGCACACATTAGGTTAGGCTCTAGAGGGCTACCTGTCCTCCTTTTCCGGCAGACGCCACCTCTGTGACTCACGGAACTCGACCCGCGCCGTCCTGGGCCGGCAAGCTCGCTCTGGCTGCCAAGGCTGCGAAACCGCGGAGTCAAAAGAACCGCCATACGCCCGCGCGCCGGCTCCTCCCCCGGCCCGTAGCCCCGCCCCCACCTGATCCTCTGGGGCGGGGCCAAGGCAGGCCTAGCTCCGCCCCTTCCGAACCAGCCGGAAGTGACGTAAATGCCCCCGCCGGCCGGTCTTTCGGTCTTCTTCCCTCTCCCTCACTCTTCCTTCCCAGTCCC